AAATCAAATCCCTCAAATCTTATACACGTACCTCTCAAATCCAATTCCTACATCAAATTCCTCAAATCAAATTCCTCCAATCAAATTCCCTCACATTCTCATATCACATCTTACTTCCGCTGCAATGTCAGGAATCCTTATGATTCTCCCTCTTATTGCAGACTCAAAACGACCGGTCGCCCGAAGCAAACGACCGGTCGCCAAAGACTCTGCCTGAATTGCATGGATTATCGACTTGGGTGCTACGAATTTCTTGACTCACTTACCAAGTTGGGCATTTGTGACGTATATGCACGAACTTGAGGAGGAGTGTTGAAGTGAGTCTCGTAATTAATCAAGGAGATTTATTTCCTGGATTAATTAGGGGATTTACTTTCCTATTTTATATAGTTGTCAAATCATTGTATAATTAGGAGATATTTTCCTAATCCTTTACTGGATCTAATTCCTTATAAAGCACTCATGTAAACTCTTATATATATACCTCCTTATGGAGAAGAATAAATAAGAACCTAACATATTCAAAACCATATTCATATTTTAGCATGGTTGTGGTTTTAAAGAAAATCACTCACAAGATTAAGAACACGGTCACAGAGGCAAGCTACATATCAGCATCCAGACAGGCAAAGCTGTAAGAAGAAAAGCAATTAATCAATAACCTAAACCCAAAACACACTAATATTTAAAATCAATACGTACTGGATGTGGAGGTGCTTGAGGCCTTTGGTCATCGCCATTTTTGCCAAAGGAAAGGTGACCTCCTTGCTAGCACTAGGCGGAATGATTACAGAAACACTGCAGTTGTTGAAATTTTCACATAGCGAACCCAATGTTTTAGTCTCCTCCATTTCGATCACCACTGGTATATTCTCCATTTATTCCACAAAATGGAAGAGGGAGTTCAGAGCAATATTGTACCCCCTCCTAACTGATCGGGCGGCACTAAACTTGCAAACGTATTGTTTGAATCTGTTGTGGGAGCGAGCCTTCATCTCCTTCGTGGTGAAATTGGAGATACCATTACTGTTGGCCATGAAAATCAAATCGTCCGCGGTGGATATGACTTCCTCCGGTTTCTGGGAGATGTTAATGCGACCACCATGCCAGAGGATCCTCTCTCTTTTAAAATGAACTAGTGCCTCCAACTCCAATCTGTTCTTTATGTTTATAAACCTTTCACTGTTGGACCTGGTATTTGTTGAAGTGAGTCTCCTAATTAATCAAGGAGATTTATTTCCTTGATTAATTAGGGGATTTACTTTCCTATTTTATAGATTTATTTCCTT